GCGCTGCGTCCCTAGGACCGATCCTCTTGTCAGATCATGGACTGTCTGCCATGGTGCCAGAGCAGCGTCAGCAGACGACAGGACTCATCGCTCGTGGTTTCCTGAGCTGCCTCAATCCCAATGGGGTTGAAACCCAGAAGCTGTCAAACAGCTGAGTGGCTACTTGACATGCAAAGCCTGACAGCTCCTCTTCTGTTTGCTTGCAAAAGGCCAAGGCTAAGATCCGGCGGGGTGATTTTTCCTCTATTGTTTTTGTTCCTAATCTGCAAGGAATTGAAATAGAATAATAAGAAATGATGACTAATAACACGTTAAATCATAAAGTTGATCAATAGTGGATGTTTGTGATTAATTTTTCATTTCAACTGCTGTTCGGCATTAGGAAAATGAGCTGCTGCTGTAATTTTGGAATTACTGAGAAATCATAACAATTTGCAGCTCTAAACCTAAATCTTAATGTATATGCTTATACTAGATTATATTTTTATGGCATAATCTATGCATAAACTACTTACCTTTCCAAAACTTTCAAATATTTCAGTAGCATATTTTATTATTACAAGGATGATGTTAAAAAGAAAAGGTGGTGTTTATTCTGCAGTTTGTTTTATTGTAATTTATTCATGGAAATACCTGCACCTGTGAAGCTATAGGGTCCTACACATGCAGATGATGCTACCCAGCCCAGTTCTAGTTCTTTCCAATACAGCTCAAAACCACATGAAGTGGACTGAGCTCCCAGCAGGAACTGGCAGGCTTCACTGTACATGGCACACCTACTGGTTTATTTTCATGGGTTGAGGAAGAATTGCAATGGTTTCTTAGAAGGCTTTTTGAAAATTTCAAACCGCATTTTTCTCTGCCACCTGGTTTCTTTTGCTGCTGCTGTTCTCTGTTATGGCAGGGAAAATCCAATTTAAGCCAGCTCTGATGTTGACATTATTCACAATGCAGATCAGCTAATCCCAGGTGTTAGTCCTCTGAAATGGGTTGCAGTATTTTATGTATGTTTACTCAGCTGCCCTTATTTAAGAGGACAACTCCTCATTTTAAAAATAATATATATGCCATAGTTCACTCCCTTCCTCTGAAGAGGTCTCTGCATTCAAAGCATTTCAGCAGAGAGATTCCCCTTCTCTGGTTTTCTCCTCCAAGCCGTGATATCTTTTCTGGAAGGTGTGTATTAGCAGATCTCTCCTGATGGAGGAGAGGATCTCCGCCACCTCCCTCACCCACCGCTTCCCCTTCACCTCCCTCCCATTTGTTAGCCGGCAGCACTTAGGCAGGCAGAATATCATGTCCAGAGCTGCTGCCAAGCCCTTTGCTGGGCTGGTGTGTGTGTGCGCCTGTGTGTCTCCGTGCGTGGGGAGAGGGGGCAGAGACGAGCCTGCCAGGGCGAAACCTGCTTTAAAACAGGCACACACCTCAGCTGCCTGCACCTGACACGTTCAGAGCTGCTAAGTCACCTCCTACTCCCTCTTTCTATTTAATTTCGTTCCTCTAAATGTCAACACGTTTATTTTTATTATTTGTCACAGGCGAGGTGGGCAAGAGCAGCAAAAGGGAGGCGAGGAGAACCCCCAAACTTCGCAGGCAGAGGCCAGCCGTGCCCAACCAGCTCCAGGCAGCAGAGAGCCCCCAGGCTCCCCCCCACACACACCCACCCACCCACCCCCAAATCCCCGCCGGCCTCCCAGCCCCCCCCCCCCCTCCCCCAGCAGGAGCCACCTCTCGAAACGCCACTGCCAGCCGAGGGATTTCCAGCAGCTCCTTCGCAAAACGCGGGGCCCGTGATCGGGAGCCCCTGGCTCATCCCCGCTCCTCCGGACCCGGCAACCCCGCACCCAAAGGACCGGCCGCCGGTTTGGGGGTACGGCGGTGGCTGCGGGCAAGGGGGGCGACGCCGGTTTGCGGCAGCCGCCGCTCCCGCTTCAGCACCCGGAACAGCTCCGCCCCGCGCGGCCCCGCGGCGCCCGTGGGGGGGGGGGGTCCCGCCCCGCGGCCTCCGCACCCGCGTGGGCTGGGGCACGAGTGGGAGCCCCTGTGGGTGCTCCGAAAGCGGAGAGGGGAGTTGGGGGCGGCAGGAAGGGGGGCGGTGAGGGAGAGGGTTTGGGGTGCGTGGGGTGCGGAGGGCCGGTGCTGGGTGGCGGTGTGAGACACGGTGTGAGCGGCCCAAGAAACGACTGGGGCGGGGGAAGGGAGGGGTGGGATGCGTGTGTGTGTGTGTGTGTGTGTGTGTGTGTGTGTGTGTTCACGAGGGTTACTGGGGATGGGCTGGTCACCCGAGGGAAGCGGTGGGTGGGGGAGGAAATGCGGGAGGTGCCGCGGGGAGGGGCGCAAGGTGCGCGGGGCAGGCGTCTCGGCTGCGTGAGCGCAGGGCGTGGGCAGCCCTTGCGCGGGAGCGCACGGTGGGCAGGAGGGAAAGGGTCTGCGCGGGGAGTGCCGCTCGCTGCACGGGGCGCAGGGGCGGGAGGGTGCCAGGAGCCCGCGGTGTGTGCGTGGGGGTTGGGGGGGGCTGAGGGAGCAGGGCAAGGACGTGCGTGTGAGTGTGTGTGCGCGCCCGCCGCGTGTGCCAGAGCGATCCCTACAGGTGTCCACGGAGAGCCGCCGCGCGGGGATCCCAGCCCGAGAGCATCCCTGCCTGCCGTGGGCTGCGGCGCTGCCTCCCCCTTCACCCCCCGCCCCAGCAAGACGGGGAAAGAGGAAGGAAAACAGAGAGAGAGTGAAAAGAGAGAAGGGGGAAGAAAGGAAGAAGAAGAAGAAAAAAAAAAAAAGAGCAAAAATGTAAAAAAAAAAAAAAAAAAAAAAAAAAAGACAGAGATGGAAAGACTGAAAAAGAAAGGAAAAAGACCCAAGGAAAAAAATCCCCAAGCAACTGCTTACTTATTACTGCCGATACAATTCTCACACTGTCAATAAACAGCACAGTCTTGTCTAGTCATTTCCAAGGCAGAGGGACACTTTCATTCTCGAAAGAGGGCAATTTATTAACACATATATATCTCAAATGGGCTCTTAAGTACCAGACATCCCTCCCAGCAGCGTACATGTGTATACACATGTATGTAGCAAGAAATATACACAAACCAACATAAATGTAGCTATTGCATTCAGAGCCTCACCGATGAATTAATGGGCTTCCCTCACCCCTCTACAACCATTTTTTTTTCCTTCAAAAATTATGATTTAGTCACAGGTGCCCCGATTGAGCCTTTTCAGATTAGGAAAAGAGAGAGACACCCATAGGTCAATAAATTCTTAATAAATGCTAGGTCGGTTGGCATGCACAACGCTTGGCAGAATCCTTATTGTGTAAAACACCCAGCATTGTCTCTGGGTGCAGGGAAGACCAGAGAGTTCACAAATTACCGGATGAAATAAAAGGATCTGAAAAACAACCTTGCTGCAGCCAAAGGGAGAAGCGCTCTAATTCAAAAGCAGACTTAACAGCACCATTAATCTTTTCCTTTCATTTCTACGTAATTTCTAGAACCAAATTCTTTCCCAAACGGCTGGAATGATCGATTTTGCTACCCTCCCAGCCTGCAGATGTATTTATTTTAATATGCCTGTGATATAATTTCTACCCCTTCAAAAATGCATACCATCAGCAGGAACCCGAACAGTTTCAAACCCATATCGAAGAAGCCGGGTGCCCTCTTTCTTCTGCCTCACAATAGAAAATGTCCCAAATTATCAATGCACCTCCCGCACAAACCCCTCGCCCCTTCCAGACCGCCTCCGATAAGGAACAATAATATTGCGATATTCATCCCCACCGCTGCCCCGGCTTCGTGTTTCACCACGCCAGGGAAAACATGCAGCAGATTGATTTTATTCCTTAAGTCTCGCAGAGCCCCCCCCTCCCACCTACTCCCCCCTTCCTCCTCCCGCCGCCTTTGAGAGGGGTAATAAATTACCGCATCCAACCTTTAACTTCTCTCCGCTCCACCATCTCCTCTCCTCGCCATCTACCTCTTCACGACGCCGCACGCAAACCCACCAGCCTCTCTCGCGCCTTCTCCTCCTCCTCCTCCTCCTCCTCCTCCTCCTCCTCCTCCTCCTCCTCCTCCGCCGCCGCCGCCGCCGCGGCAAAGCGGGGCTCGCCCTCCGCGGCGCCGCTCTGCCCGCGCTGCGGGCTCGCCTTACCTGCGCGGGGTGCGGCGGGGCCGGGGCCGGGGCCGGGGCCGGGGCTGCCTCTGCCGCTCGCCGGCGGAGCGGGCGCTGCTGCGGGTGCGCGGCGGCGGCGGCGGCGGCGGCGGCGGCGGCGGCGGCAGCGGCGGGGGCGGGGGCGGCCGCCGGGAGCGGGGGGCGGTGCCGCCGCGTGACGCTGCCGCGCCCGTCTGCCCGGCGGGGGCGGGGCCGCGCGCGCGGAAGCCCCGCCCCGCCCGGCCCCGCCCCCGCCGGGACCCGCCGCCCGTGCTGCCGGGTGGGAGGCCGAGGCTGGAGCGACCGGGATGGAGAGGAGCCGCGGAGGGCAGTGCTGGGCCGGGGGGGACCGGGGGGGACCGGGGGAGACCGGGGGGTAGGGCGGGGCGGGGCGGGGCGGGGCGGGCCCGGCCCCGGCCCAGGCGCGTTGGGGAAGTCGCGTCTGCGGGGGGTGGGATGGTGAAACACCGCGGGGGCTGGTAGGCGGCTCCTCTGCCAACTCCCCAGCTAAAACTCTTCTTTCTTTGCATGGTTTGTAGGGGTTTTTGTTATTTTTTGTTTGGTTGGATTGTATTATTTTTTTTCGTTTGTGTATTTTTTTTTTGTTTGTTTTGTTTTTGTTTTGGTTTGGGTTTTGTGTGTATATTTTAGTTTTTTGGGTTTTGTTTGTTTTTTGCTTTGTCTTGTGTGTGTGTATTTTGTTTTTTTTGGTTTTTGTTTTGGGTTTTTTTGTGTGTGTATTTTGTTTTTTTGTTTTTTTTTTTTTTGTTTGTTTGTTTGTTTTGGTTTTGTGTGTGTATTTTAGTTTTTTTGGTTTTGTTTGTTTTTTGTTTTGTGTGTGTGTATTTTGGTTTTTTTTTGTTTGTTTTTTGTGTGTATTTTGGTTTCTTGGTTTTTGTTTGTTTTGTGGGGTCTCGTTGTCATAGTTGATGTTGTCATGTCATTTTGTTGTTATTTTTTTCCTCAGAACTGAAGCTCGCTGGGGTTCTGCACAGCCTGTGGGAAGGTGGAGTAATGGGCTTGTGACCAGGGTGCACCCAAGGGCTGGATCTACAGCCACAGGAGAAGTGTTTGGGAAAGCCTGGCTGCTTTCTGGGGTGGTGGTAAACCTCTCTGACTGGACGTTGCCTCTAAATGGTTGCAAACTATGAGAGAATTTGAAAGCTTCTCAAAATTATTTGGTTTGGCTGCATGGAAAGTATTTGATCATGCCAAACATACTCAGTTTTGTCTATTAGTTGGTCTTCTAATTTTGTGCTCAGCGGCCTACAGAAAGGTGATGAATTAATGTAAGTGATTTGCACACAGCCTTAGCCAACGTCCTGGCAACTTTTGAAAATAGAGTGGTGTCTGTCACACTAAGAGTCACAAGAGCACTTCAGTATCTGGCATCCCAGAATTTTTTGAGACTGGTCCGTACTTTTTGTTGTCCAAGGTGTGAATGTAGCAATTTAGTTTTGAACTGAAACTTCAGAAATAATTGTAAAAAAAAAAAAAAAATCCATTCTTCCACTGTAGTCCCAGAGGACTTAGCCTTATGATTTTTATTTTTTTTAAATGAAACAGGCTTTCTCACAGATGACAAGTTTGATGAGGTAACCAAGCAACATTTTAAGTAATGAGAATAAAAGCTTGCTAGATATGCAACATATCTTCAATACTTACAGCATAATCAGACATCCCTTTTGTTCGGCCAGATGATATCCATATCCAGTTATTTTCAAATAGAGGGATAATTTCTCTCGACGATTCTGGTAACTTGACCCATGCAAACAGAGGAAGGAGAACAAATATCTCTTGTGCTATGAAAAGCGTATAAATTGTAGGCTGCAATACGGTATGTGATACACATTTTTAAAGGGGGAAAATTGTAACCTGATAGAAGTTAGTATTTAGCGTGTGTGTGTCTGTATACATATATATAATGTAAAAAATAGTATTTTCTATCTGTGGCCTTATTTTTATTATGCTGTTGGTGAACACATGGTGAACAGAGCTTCTTGTGCTCTTAGGTGGGGAGTGTCAAAGCCAAAGCCCAATCCACGGTGAAGGTGCTGGCACAGGTGGATTCTTCCACCTTCAAACTGAGGGACAGCTCAGCTATTCCAGCAGTAGCCAGAGGATGTTCATGTGTCTCTAAATTCATAGTAAGAAGCCTGCTACAGTGAGAGGAGGGCTGGGAAGAACCTGCATAGAAATAAGGCAGTGAGACATTAAGTGAGCCAGAAAGATACAAGGAAGTTTAGGGAGAATACAATTGCCTTAATTTAATGGTATTTTTTGGTTGAGTTTTAGAACAATGTATTACTTTTGTCATTCTCAGCAATTGTTGCAGCATATGTTGTCAGCTGATTCATTCTGAAGCAGCACCAAAAAAAAAAAAAAAAGTAAAATAAACCCCATGATTTTCAAACAATCTCTCTTTATAGGTCTTTCAGCTTGACAAATGTATGGAATATCACGTAAGAAGCACATGGCCTTACAGAAACCTGCCTTTATTCTGCATAAATTAATGTTCTGTGCTATACCAAAATATTTATGGATTTTGAAAAGTAAAGAGATATAAGTAGCAATGATATTCTTGAAAACAAGCCAGTCATATTTTCTGTCAGAGGGAATGCAGTACATTATCCAACTTGCAAGTCTGAGACCTTTTGAAGGGATGTATATTGCCAGAACAAAGTGCCTTTGAGTCATTAAAAAGTACATATGTGAAATTTTCCAACAGTTGTAATTTTAAATAAGAGATTTGTTGACAAGCTGAAGTGAATGCTGGAGCTGTCTCTGAGGCACGTGCAGGCAGTTGGCATAGCTGTCAGAGCTAATAAAAAAGGAAATAACCAGTCAGGGAGGTGCAGAAGAAGTAAGAACGATTTTGCTGAGAAAAACCACACAATTAAAATCAAATGCAAGGTGCTTCCAGAGAACACTGGTTATCTGAGCAGGCATGAGAAAGAGAAGGGAGAAAGTTATTTCTGGGACAGAGCCAGCAGGAATTGTTTTAAAGATCTGAAAGAGAGAAAACCTGTTTCTTTGCTGAAGTGGTTCAGGGTAATGTTCAATAATGGGGTGGTCAGATTTTTGGGGTACGTCAAAGCTCTATTCCGGTTATAATCACTCACGTGTGCCTGACATCTTTACCTCTTTGGAGTTATCATCAGGAATCCTCCTATACCAAACCAAATCTTTGAGAAGAGCTTCAGACCCACTAGAAAGCTGACCCTTCGCGTGTCTGAATAGAAGTTGTTTTAGAGGACAGCCAGTAACATATTTTTGAACAATTCAAGTAATACCTTTTGGTGTTGGTCAGACTGGATGACATAGATGTACAGCAGAATGATCGGAGCGGTATGCAGTTGTCTGTATCCGCATACAGCCAGTGAGGTTTAAAGAAATATGGAGGAAGAAAGGTGTAATTTCTGTCTGTTATCTACCATATTACTGCGCAACCTCAGCTGTAGATGAAGAAAGTATTGGTAAATCTAAAGTAAGAAGAAATTAAAAGATACCTGTCTTGGAAAAAGGACATCATATTACAAAGGTCCTTTCTTGCTCAATTCAAACTAACTGAAGAAAATTTTGAAGGACTTGAGGATCTTGAAGTAAAAGAGAGAGACAAAACTGTACGGTTCAACAAAATTAATTGCAGCAAATAATCAAATTCAGTACTGAAGGTATCTGACCAAGACATATGTTTGAATTCAGAAAACAGAACCAAGAGGCAACTAACTACATGTGGATTGGACTTGCTAGTTTCTCTTGATAATGCATTTTTGGAGCTAGCTTATACCTAACTTTGGAGGATTAAGGTGTTAAAAACTTGCTTAAAATCAATTCTGAGTGGATAAATAATAAAGTAAAGGAGCATACTTATGAGGACTTAAAATATTTATTGACCTTATACCCAGTACTGGCATTTAATGATATTTCCAAGTCTTCTGCTATTTCAGAAGGTACTAGCTGTGTTTAGTGATATAATATTATAGTCATGAAGAGAAGATTGGAGACTCATATTGTTTTCGGTGGCTTTTGGGCTCCAAAAGTAGTTTTGTCCGAAGAAAGCAAACATGATCAGAAAATGTGTAAACATATCCGAGGATCAGAAGATATTTGTGGATTCTTGGTAAATTCAAAATCTCAGCTGACAACAAACCATTTCAAGCCTAACACAAGTTTTTCCTTAGACATAACTGCTTCCTTGTATTTACTGTAGCATTGAATACTTAATATGAAAAGTGTTCAAGAGAATTTAATAGTAATAAGTAACATCATGCTGAAGAGTCCTATTTGATTGCCAAGATTAAAATTTTGGGATGATTCAGAGATTAATGTAGATGTCATTTTTTTGGCTTGGTAACTTCATTGCAGGGAATTGCTTAAAGCGCTAAGAAAACCAGACCTGTTTAATAGTTCAAAGCTTAAATATAGATGATATCTACATATATGAAATGTGTGAGGCATTGAATTGAAAGTTTTATTACTTAGGAGGAGTTGCATATCAAATCTTTTTTTTTTTTTTTTAATTAAATGAGAGGAGCACTTGATGAGTGTGAAGATAATCATATTCCCACAACAAAATCATCATAGAGGAAAATGTAGTGTGAAGAATACAGGAGATACCAAGACCTCAAAAATCCTTAAAATGCATTTAAAAATACATCATTAGTGACAAAAACTGATAGTTCTATGGTTCTAAGTCTCAGACATGAAGATACAGTACACTTTCATTCATACCAGTTACAACTCCTGTTGCGCCCAAGGCTTGAATGATGGGCACAGCAGTATGCATCACCAGGAGAAATCTACAATGAAGGACCTCATATTAGCTCTTCTCATCTGTACAGAAACTCATTTATCAGCTAGTCCTGTTGATGAATCTTCAATGGGTTTCAGAAAGGATTATGATATGACACAAGTAGCAATGATTTTCTCACCGAAGCTCCATGAAGAAAGTCAGTGTGGTGCAAAATGTCCTTCTCAGTATATATGTATGGATTTGACAATCTGTATCAGTCAGCTGAGCAAATCATGGTAAAACAGATAACTGTTAAATCAACCGGCTTCCAGAGTACATTTGGTTTGGTATTAACTCTATTAATAAGAAGGTTGTTGTAGAATTTTCTTTAGAGAAGAATTTGGTAGGACTGATATGAACATCAATACTGTGGGATTTTTTAAATTGTAAGAGTAACTTTCATATTATTAATCTTTGTAATTTCAAAAGAAGTTCCTATGTTCATATCTCAAAAAAAAAGTGATTATTTTCTGTAAATCTTCATGTAGTAACATGGCATAACATATTAAGTATGCATACAGCAGATACATCTCAAGGCCATCCTTGCAGATTTGAGTTTAAGAATAATACATGTAAATACTGTGCAACTAAATGCCTTTGATGGCAGAAGAATAAGGAACTAAATCAATTTAAAATAGCTAAGTCTTCTTTAGTTCAAATATTTGCTTTTTAATGTCTTAAAACAGTTTTTAAACAGCAAAGTAGAGGCAATCCATTAGATAAGGAGAATTGAAGAGAACAACAAACTGTTGTATGTTGTCACTGAGTGGACAACAGCCACCGAAAGGACTTGGAATCTCATGTCATCCCATAACTGTCTGTGGAATCATTTGCTTGAAAGAAATGTGTAAGAAATACCATTGTAAACAGATGTGGGATTAATATTTTGTTGCAAGCCCCGAGAGAGTTTATTTTAAGCACTGAAGTATTTTGCTTAACATGTCTTTCAATACTTTGAGCAGTCTTTTATAAATGTTGCTTATATAATTTCCCATAATTCCTTTTAAAATCTCACTGAATTCCTACTTATATGTAATTGATGTAATTCTATAGAATTTATAGGAATGCCATTTGTGTGTCATTTATATAAATTTCTATTAAATCTATTCAACATCATCAATCATCACCTTGCTCATCCTCTTTTCTAGGATCACAGAGCTGCCTAGATATATCAGTGTGTTCAGGACCCCAGTATGTTAGGAGAGCTTCTGGGTAGCCCTGGTAGCGTGTGGCTCTTTTTCCCAAAGACCTCACAAATTTAAAAACAATGTGTAGCGAGTCCGTAAGGCTGGCAGAACAACAGGATATTCTAGTGTAATTTATCAGTGTGCCCAAATCATAGATGTAGTATGCAAATGAGTAGAAGCAATCAAAGAAATTGCATCTTGCACAGCTGCAGGATTGGGTCTTACGCGGGAACTTCCCTCGAAGGTGCTGAGTGCCCTCAGCTCCCACTAACCGCTGATGCGGGCTGAGGGTACTAGGAAGAACTTGTCCCATTTTGAATCAAGGCCTTTGATAGCTTCAAAAAAATCTCTGATTATAATAATTTGTTTTATAATGTGTCACTCTACACTTATGAAAAATGAGTATACTTGCTGTAATTCAAGTATTCTACAGATATTTAGCTGTACTAAAAGTGTGCCAAGTATACTAAAAATATATTACTTTTTGTAAGGGTATAATTTCCTAGTAATCAGAAGTTATACTCTGATTCAAAAATTGCTATAATTGTTAATGTTGGTGAGAATTACTAAGGCATCAAAGCAGAGGAATATTTGTGATATGAAGCTGCAGATAGGTAGTTGAGATCATCAGTGTTTAAACCATAAATGATGCACCTGCTGAAGAGTTTCACTAAGGGAATACTGCAGTGTGCCAGATGGCAAGTATTTTTACACTTCAGGGCAGCTTTATTGTTGGGTTGCCTAGTTCAAAAAACCTTTCACTACAGGAAGTGAGAGTTGCCCTTTCCAGAAATTACAGTATTAATTACTATTAGTTCAAAAGCTTGATTCAGTTTATTTTTCTTTAGTCCCCACAATCTGTCTTGAGAGTCCTTAGTGTTGTCATTACTTCTTAACAGTTCAGGTGTTTGTAACACAGTGCAGAAGAAAGTACTAGAGAAGGCAAGTAGGAATAAAACAAGGGCCTGAATGAAAGAGATTAGAAGGCAGCAAAGGGAACAGGTTGGGATGAGGTATACTGTACATGAAGTGATAAGAAAAAAGCAAGCAACCTAAGTTAAAAAAGCAAGAGTTGTTGGTGGAAATAAAGAAGAGGGCAAAGGAAAGGTGATGAGCAAAAAACAAATAAAAATGATTAAAAGGCAAGTAGGTACAAGGAATCAAATCAAAATTGCTTGATGATAGAGCATTTTGCCTGGGGTCAAAATAAGAAGTAATGAGTTATAGGACAAATTGTAAATACTTGGGCAACTTATCAGTTTACACTAGTCCTAAGGAACAAAGGAGACAGAACGCTGACTACTCAGGATGTGTGGTGGAGGCAGAAGCAACCCCTGGCCAAAACCAGAAACACTTGTGTTTAACTGTATTATGATCATGCCAAGGTCAGAAATACTGTAAGAGTAGGTTGGAGCTGTTGGGAGAACTGTCAGTTGCTGACAGTATCTTCTCCTGTGCCTGGTTGACACACATGGTCTGTGGCACAGCAGGATTTTTTGTGACTGATCCCTTGGTGCTTCCAGGGCAAATTTATTTGGAAAGGGTAAACTTTCCACTGCTATAAATCAGTGTTGTCCTTGTGGTCCTGTTGGAGGGGAAAAGTCACAAAAGATTTTATAATAATATTTCCCTTCTGTTCACCACCAAACCCACTCACTTAAAGATTCAGACTAGGCAATGATACATGTTGGTTTTCTTATACAATGCTGATGATGTTTCTGATCTGACCTTCCAAGCAATCAGTGTTGAAAATGTTAATGCATTTGCCATAAACAAATTCTTAGCAGCATTCAAACACTTTGTCTCTACCTCCGTAGTTCTCTCTAGTGCCACCTGCAAACACCAAAAAATGCCAGAATTCAGGACAGCCTGTTCTCTCAGGCCAGGATACTCCTCCTTCTACACAATATGATTATTCAAACTTTTCTGTAGGGTCTGGAAGGTTTGTGTCTCTTTCTAAGAAATATGCTTTTCTGATGTCAGGATGTAAATTGCATTTTTGTTTTAATACTGCCAAATTAGTGTTTGCTTCATGTAGTATTTGATCCACACTCTGTTTTACTTGTTGCTGTTTCAACTGTTTGCCTTCCTCTAATGTGTTCAATAGATAGAGTTATTTTTTATTCTTTCTCTGTGATTCTATCCAGCCATTTTGTGACCACAGCCTTTGCTGACTACTGCTTTTGATTTAACTGTACATTTGTGCAAATATACCATAGCTACCAAAGCAGTAGGAAAAACAGAGATTTCACAGAGACTTACATAGTGGCAATAGAAAAGGTCAAGATACTGTGTATTTTTAACAGCGGACTCAAGTTCTCTCTCATGTATTTGGTAAACTCTTGTTTTGCTGGATACATTGGAAGACAAAATTTTATCGTTCTGTAACCAGGTGACCCCAAATTGAACAACCCACAATAATATGAAGAAGGTTTTAAAGATCCAGATTGAACTGTGAGTACTAATTAGTAGCTATTCTCTACTGATACTCCTCTATTGTCACAGATGCGATGTGCTATTTCAGTAACCTGTATTCATATTTTCACCATATTATTTTACACTGCATTCCTTAAACAGCCTCTCAGCAACAAACTTCTTTGGCCGTAGTGACCACTGGAAAGGTGTCTTCATCTACCGATTAGGTTTATTTCAAGTTATTTCAACATACGTAGGAGCATTTAAATTGACAAAAGATATAAAGGTGAAGTAATAAAAATATACACTTTTATTTTAAAGGGGTATAGGCTGGATCACGTTCAACTATTGATAAAGCAAATTGGAAGCCAGAAATTAGTCCACAACCTGCCTACAAGATATTGTTTTCTTTTAGTTCTGTATTTATCAGATAAGCTTATAACAGTGTCTTCCAAGTGGATGGAAAACTAGTAATTGACAATTTTGAAGTATTACTAAAGTATATAGTTCTGGTCCTGCAGACAGTGAAATTACCATAGTTATGTTAGTTATAGACAAAAGACCTCGGCTAGTATACCTCAAGGCTTTGATCCTATAATTTAGCTAACGCAGGACTCCAGTAGGGCTTCCCTCCTAGTTCTGAGAGCTTATATTGATTCTTAGGTATTCAATGACTTAATGCTACAGGCAGAGAAACACACAGATTTTCCTGATGTTTGCAGGTTTCAGGATGTTAAAATTATGCAAATGGAGCACAGTTTGCCCAAAAAGCAAATTAGCATTTTGCACCTGTAGCAAGCATAATATGTGTATTTCAACGAAAGTATGAACATTCAGCACATTTTTACCTCATTAGCACTCCAGGGGTAGCAGTGACTTAATTCTTTGCTGTTGCAATCTCTGTAGCTGCTACCCATAGACATTTTACAGTTGTCCATAAAACATGTTTGTCAAAAACAAACATAAATTTTATGAAAACTATTGAGAAGCCAGAGTAATGATTCATTCCTTTATAGAGTGAATTACTCTGTTCAGGGTATAAAACCTTTGGCATCCTAATTCTGTGGGGCATAAAAAGAAATGCCCCTCCCAGAACTGGGCTGCCTGGCTTTGTAACACTTCAGATTTGGAAACAAATATTGCTATTCAGGATGCAGAAATCATAGAGCACCTGTTCGGACCATATGAGGCTGCATTTTGGAAAGGAAGACTGAGATGAAAAAGGCCTAGGAAAAGCATGATCCAAACCCCACGGAAGTAAATGGACTTCACTGTGACATGGTGCAGAATGAAGGGAGGGAATGTAAAATCCCATCTGTTTATGTCGTTCTCTTGGTTTATGAGAGATTTGTTGTTGGATGGAGAAAGAAAGCTTCAAGTCTCCACAAAGTGATAATCACTATGATGTGAGGAACAAAGAACGGTAGGTTTTCATTGCATTTTGCCCCAAATACCATTTTTTTTCTCATATAGTTGAATTAAAGACGATAAAAAATTTAGCAGTGATCTTTTTAAGTTCCCTGTTACACTTTGGAAAAGTCTTGTTTTGAAAGCTCTCTTGTAATCACCCTTGAACTACCCTATTATACAAGTAGTAATCCTTCAAGACAGCTTAATTTTTGTTTCCTGTTAACTGAATCACTAAAAATGTTCACCTTTTATTAAGAATGCCTTTTTTTCCCCTGAGTTGTCCTCTTCCTGTTTTTTTCCATGTTTAATTTTGTTTGTTTATTATTTTATATAGATTTTAGGCATTTTAGGATTTTAATGGGTCATTTTATATGGTAACTTTTATACAATATGCTTTGTTGAACATCCATCTCAGTCCACAATTGTCTGTGTAGATGAGATAGATACTTCTGAGTAACATCTGAATGATTCATTCTTTTGAATATACACAAATCTGTTGTTACAACATTTTGAAATCCAGCTATAGACATGATGTAGGATATGACCACATTAAGCACATTGATTGAATGTAACATGGAGTTGTGTTAAAAATTTTCTCCCTTGTTGTTGAACAGTTAATTATCAACTTATATGACAAACCTGAGAACAGTTATGAACAAATAACTGAAGGTACCTTCTCAATCCACTGCTCAACTGCTCAGAACAGCTAGCTTTTTTTTTTTTCTTTTGTGATGGACAGGGAATTTAATGGAGAGCAATACTGGTAAATAACATAATACCAATATTATAACACCATGTGACCTCATCTAAGAGGTTTGGTGAAGTGTTTGTCAACTCATCTCAAAAAGAATACTGTTGAATTTGAGGACGGGTTCAGGAATAGGAGAAGAGAATCAATGACAGTGCTGAGACATCATAAGATGTCTTATCAGAAACTGAAAAGACCAAAGCTTACTTTATACAGAAGAGTTATGTGAGTAAACACTTAAAAAACAAACATGTGAGCAAAAAACCACCCCTTCCCACAAACTTCAAACCTACAGAATAATCTTGTCCTGGGTTGAGTGAGTGGTGGAGTTTTTTGGTGGCAGGGGAGGGGGCTAT